AATATTTGATCGGTTTTGTCCTTGAGTCTCGTCCTAAATTCACTGGGATTAGATACAGCGGGAGCAGCCCTCCGCCTGGCCGACGAAGAGCATAGCAGACCCGGGACACCGTGGGGGCTGCCCCGCTTACCACTTGCAGGCTCATCCGGGTCACGGAGTCAGTCCTTTTCCCGCTGGTAACGTCGCCTGACTACTGGTACGAAGAGGCGCACACAGAGCAAATCTGTCCCATTCTCTCCTGTGCCCCTTCCGTGCAGAGGGTTTCTGAAGAAAGTGATTCTGGAGACTTGGAAGAAAGGGAAGATATCACTTTGGTTTCTGCGCCTGCCACTTCCTAAGGTCTTTCTCCCAGGAGATTCCCACCCGTCAGCGGCTCAGCGGAGCCTCTCCTGGGGGAAGACAGGGAGAACGGGATGCGGATACGTTCCTCTGGTAGATTGGACAGTTTCTCCAGAAGAAACTGTGGTCGTGGTCAACAACAACAACAAAAATCACACACCAGCTTTATTCTCCTCTGCTGATACTTGGTGCTCTGCAATCGCGAAAGACCCCGGGGTGAAATCCGCACCACCACCCCCCGCCGGCCCTCCCCCCTCTGGTACCGTCGGGGTGGCAGGCGCACACTTGTTTGTCGGCACAAGGGCGGTGCGCTCCCCCGGGTGAGATCTGACCGTCGCGGGCTCGTCGCCTGCCAAGTCATGACTAGGAGCTTTTTCAGGCACTTTTGGTCATATCTATCCCGTAAATTAAGACATCTGGGTGTAGCAGGTTGGTGTTAATGAGAAGAACCTTTTCCTCATGCCTTCCCCCGTCAGCACCAATCTTTTATTCGCGTTTATGAGGACAAAATATAACTCTGTCGTAGGGGAAGAAACTGCTCCGCGAATTTACGAGGTGCCAGACACTGCAATGTTCGGCCGGGGCTGCGTTCCCCGGGAGCAAGGCGCCCCGAGGGCTGCCCCCGCCCCCGCGCACATCCCAGAGGGCTCAGAAACGCGTGTGCGCGCTTGGGTGCGCGGCGGTGTGCTCACCTGGAGGCACAGGGCTCCTCAGGGAGGGATTTCCAACCTCCCTTCCCTCACTCCGCCCAGAGGCCTGTTGGAAACAGCCTCTCCGACTGGGCTTCCCGCACGCAGCTTTTGGGGGGCAGGAGCCACCACCTCGGCGGGTGACCTTTCCCCACTCTCCCTCCGCCCCTTTTTGTACTTCACCGTCGCTTTCTGCCCAAGGCCGGCGCGGCCCAGCGGGGGCAGCGGGGCAAGGAGGAAAGCCAGGCTCCGCGCTATGCACCTGTGGACGCACCGCAGCCGTGCGGCCGCTGTGCGAGGGGAGGACGACGACGGCCTTTCCCCTTCACAGAGTTCCCAACTACCTGGCAGCAGGCAGCGGAGAAGGATCTAGGGAGCCCAATCCAGATCTATCGCTCCGCGGGGTGGGGAGCATCCTGGCCGCTTAAAAATGTTAGAGGAAGGAGAGTCTACGCCTCCCGTCAGGAAAGCAGGGACCGAACATAACCCTTGGACAGGAAGACTTTGGCCTAGCGCCATTTTTCTGCCCTCCGTTTTATAGCTGCGTTATCTTTTTCTCTTTTTTTTTTTTTTTCTTTTTTTTTCTCTTTCTATTTTTGTGGGGGCGGGGGGGAGGGGCGGGGTTGTCGGGAGAGAAGTAATTCTGCTGAACAGAAAAGCCAAGCCTGGGAAGGAGTTCCTTTTGACTGCTCAGGGTGATCTATCCAGGCCCTCTAATTAGAGACGGATCCAGGGTGGCATTAGTTTCCAAACATTTTAATCGAGCTTTAAGCAGAGCTCTTTTCAATGGCAGGAGATAAATGTAGCAACTGTTACCGTTTCCCTGAATGGCCACCTCCCATGGCGGGCATTCAGCCTTCCTTTCAGAAGCCCTAAGCAGTTTAGTCTATGGACCCAGCAACACTCCACATATCTTCTAATTAGTCTAATTAGAGAGGTGGATTGATAGATACAGGGAAGACACAGTTAAGATACGAAGATGCTCAATGCACTAATATGTGCCGGCGAATCTCTTGTTCTCAATGCGAGGAAAGAAGAAATAAAGGAAAAGAATAAAAAAAAAGGGGGGGGGGGGGGAAGGAGGGAGAGAGAGAGAGGAGAAAGAGAGAAAGAAGAAGAATCCAGGAGCCTGACAGGAAGAACAAGTCCTGAGGAATCCGAGGGGCTGTTTTCCGTCCTGGGCTGGAAGCACTGCCCGCTGCACGGCGCAGTTCTGGGCCGAGACTCACCGTCGGGCACCGCTCCAGCACCCGCCGTCTCGCCCCTGTGCAGCTGGGCCCCGCGATCACACACGTGAGGAGGGGAAGGAAAAGAAAGGGAAGAGGCAGAGCAGTGGCTTCCTTCCCAGGTCCCCACTTCGGCCATCGCCTCCTGTGCTGTCGTCGGAGACGGTACCTGTGGAGACCCGTCGAACGGAAGCAGAGCGGCCGGTTCGAGGAAGGCTGAACATTTAAATGGACGATAAATCAAGGAGACGAGCATAGGGCAGTGCGCGCAGGTGTCAAAACAAGAAAAGTCAGTCGGTCAGCACGACAGGGCAGGGCCTCCTCGCTCCCTCCCCCACTAGTGTCTCCCCGTTAACGCTGCTGCCCTCAGACGGGAGAGGAAGAGGACGGGTGGGGGACAAGGCAGTGCCCGCGGATCTCGAGTCCTCTCGGGCCACGACAGGGAACGGGGCCGCGCGTGCGGTATTCTACTCGCCATGTCCCGGGCAACCTGTGGGACTTCCCCTCCTCTTTCTTCCTCCAGGTCGGCATAAAAGGCAGCAGGAGAAGCATGGGAAATGCCCCCACCTCTCATAACGGCAACCTGTGGCAACTGAGCCCCCATACCCCTCCCTTCCCGCTCTCCTTGCTCCTTCTTCCCCTACCTGACTTTCTCCGCACTTGCTCGATTTCTGGCAGATTAAGTTTACGGATCAAATAGTGAACTATTTCAAATTCAATACTTATCTCGGGGAAAGGGGGTGTGTGTGTAATTAAGATCCAACTGTCAAAGTCTCTAATCAAACTGCTGGCGAAGGGGATTCGTAGACAAAAGGAAACAATGGAAGTCTCGTTAGATCATTTTTCTGGACATTGTTTATGGTCTGGAAGGGATCAATCGTTTCAAAATGTTACGAGTAAAAATGATCCTGTGTGGAATGCAGCTAATCCTTTTAGGTTCCTGTCAACTGTTTCCACTCAAAGAATCCGATTTTTCAAATCAAAGGTGCAGAACTCAATTGCCGAGGGATTTATAGCGTCGGCAGCGGGCTCCCCTCACCCCACACGCCCCCATGCGCCCCACAGTGTCTCCAAATGCCCTGCGTGGTTGCCGAAGGCAGGACCGGACCGGGCCGCGAGTTGTCCGCGTCAGGGCGAGTGATCAACCCAGGCCGCTCGCTCGACGGTGGCAGTGGTCTGCTCTGCCAGCGGGCGGCCCAGCGCAGCCCAGTCAGGACGGCAGCGTACCTGGGGCCGGGAGGAGGCACAGAACACGGTTCCTTCCAGCCGGTCTGCCGCAGGGCCCCAGGCTCCGCCCCGGCGCGGCCGCGGAGTTTTGCGCCGCTCACCCGGGCGGACCGCGCCGTCTTGCAGCCGCAGGCGCAGCAGCATCTCTGGGACTGGTTTCAAAAGCTCTTGTGGGACCGCCAGGTTTGGCTTGCCCGCGTGTGTTAGCAGGTTTTTGCGGACTCCCTCTGGGGGGGGAGGAGGCTGGAGGGGAAGGTAGTCTGTTTAAAAGCAGAAACGTTCACTCCGCGTGGCTTGTCGGTAGCTCCGCTTCGGTATGGGGGACGGGGTACCTGCCTCATGGGCGGCCGGGTGGGACTAGGGATTCCCCCGAAAATGGTGTCCCGGCCCGCAGATGTCTGAGCACCCGGAGAAGAACCATGGCGAGGGAAGTCGTGCTGAAAGCGATCTAAAGAGGTTAATTTCCAGAGAAGGGCCGCCCTTTGGCTTCTCGTACAGAAGCGGGAAGTAGAGGGGAAGAGGTCTGTGTTTGGTGTTAGCGGGGCCACCGGCTGCCGAGCGCTTGCGGGACAGTGCGATGATACACATTTGCGTGCGCTGCCCCGTAGCCAGCGCCGTCTGCATGGAAAAAGACAAGTTACGGAATTCCAGGAAGGAGGGGAGGATGTTTGACAGAGACCACCGAGTTTTCCCAGACGGGATTTTGTGCAATCAGAGGCAGGCTGCAATGAAAAGTTAAACTATTTTTTCCATGGTCCATAATTTCCAATCCCGTCTACTTTAGGGCAAAGTCACCTGACACATCTGTCCCTCCTCACTCAGAGCTGGACATTATTTTTTCCTCACCAATGGTTCTTTTAATCGTGAGCTATTGATTCGAAGAGACTGTCCTCCTCTATCCCTCTCTTAGTGCAGCCGACAGGTGGAATTTCACTGTATACACGTACATTAGAAAGCTATCTGTTTCGTCTAGTGGTTGCTGAATAAGCAGAGGTGACAGTGTTTATTTTACGAAAAGAAAACCCAGGGAAGACACCTCATTTATCTTGATTGTGTGTATTTCATGTATTTCGTGTATACAGGTGTGCATGTACTCTGCTGTAATGAAATTAGAGAAGCAGACCTACGACCACCGCGGTACGAAGAGACATATACCCGGGTTTTACAAGGACTTTCCAAAGCCTAGGAATTTGCCAGAGAGACCACTGCAATGCTACAGTTGCTCGGGAAGGTGGCATCACTGGGTGAGGGGCACACATGTCTGAACGTACACATGCGTTTCGATGCATGCAAATGGTTTTCTATTGTGCGGAGGGGACAGAAATACCTTCGGATTAACTGTCATTAAGGCTTTCCACGCTCTTAGAAAACGAATTAATGCAAAAGCTGAATTATCTATTTATCCTTTTGCTTCCAACATAAATTGTATAATTTATCATCTGAATATGGGGTCCCGCAGACATCTGCATGCCGTTTGCTCCATCAGGGAAAGAGAAACTCAGAATCAATTCAACAGGTCTCTTATGACTTGGAGGAAGGGCAAGTTTAATTATTTTGATTGAAAAAAAATCCACAACTTTCCTTCTGAATTCAGCTCAGCGGTACAATTTCTGAAATTGGCGAGACTCAGCACTTAAAAAAAAAGAAAAAGGAAAAAAAAAGAGTGCCTTTCGTATGCTCCAGTCCATATGTTTTTCTAGTTTTTGTGCACTCCGAGGCCTAGCCGGTAGGTTCCTCCGTGGAGCAGAACGCAGTGTGTGCCTCTCTGTCCCTCGCCGCGAAAGTCCGCGGAGCCGGAGCTCTGCGCTTAGAACCCATCTTCTTACAATGTGCAGCTTCTGTGTGCCTTATGCGGTGATTCTCGCTGAGACGCCGCCGGGTGCCTCCCCGCTCCCACGGGCAGAGCACCGCCGAGGCCGCGGAGGCCCTGCGCCGCTGCGCGGTCGTGCACAGCCCTCGGTGCCACCCATGCTGCTGCAGCCGGGCTGGTCTGAGGTTGCTGAGGTGTGTACCCCCCAAGCCCCACGGCCTTTGCCTCTGTTCTTCTGGAGCGTGCCGGGAACTGAGCGGCGAGCTGGGCCGGGCGGCGGGGAGGGGTCCGGCGTGGCTCCAGTGCCGGTAGTTCACAGCACACCTTCGGGCGGGGGCCGGCGGTGGGGACCAGAGTTGTCCTGCAAGTGAAAAACAGGAACGAGAGGTTTACCGATTTGGGGCTCGCCTGCATTTCTCTGCCTGTCCCCAAAATCGACATGCACCCATCTGCATAAAGATGGCACTGAGATTAAAGAGGCATTGAGAATGGTTGTTGCCGCAGCATGGATCCGGCAGCGGCTTATTACCTTCTGGAGTGCCATTTGCCTGCACACACGTACACACACACACACACACACACACACACACACACACACACACACACACACATACACACTTGTGGCGAATGTCTCCCAAACATCTTGGTCGTGCCTTGCAGGGCAGGAACGGGAAGAGAGCAGAGAGCCCACGGCGGCTGCTCGACGTGGCTCTCACGGTGGGGGTTGCAGAGCAGAAAGGACTTGTGGAGAAGGGCGTAGAGGCTCTGAAGTCACCTGCGGCAGATCATCGGAGCCTGGGGGTGAGGGGCGGCGGAGGCCGAGCAGACACCTACCTGTTCGTGATGCGCCCGGCTGCGAGCACAAGGCAGCCGGTTCCTGCCCGTGCCCGGATTCCGATGGTGCGTGTGGCCGGTGCCAAGGGAAGTGGGAGGAATACTGCTGCGGATGAGGGAGCCACTGGCAACAAGCTGAAAAACGGATCTACATTGGTTAGCAAGTTCCAGAGCGGGGAGCGTTTGGCCACGATCATAATTTCCATTATTTGTGTCAAATACAATATTATCAGAGACTACTGCAGTACTTACTGTAAGTACTGCGGGAAAGTATTGCATACAGAGTGGAATCTCTGGGCCGTGCCAAGGGACAGTTAAACTAGATCTAGTTTCCAACAGATACCCCGCAGAGGCCTCACTCTCGATGGGGGCGACCGTGCGCTTTACCCTTGCCACCAGCGCCGAAAGAAAGGGAGCAGCTGAGAGCAGGTGAGGGCCTCGCACCCCACTTGCATCCTCCGGAATCGGGGATGGAGTTGGTCCTGGGTACTTGAAACGAGCCTACAAAGACGGGGTGTGCACCAGCTGACACCTCGCTGTCCCCAGGGGTGCCTCTCGCGGCACCAGAAATACAAACAGGACCAAAGGTGTGGTTCGAGGGAGCTGCGGGTGGGGAAGGTTTTTGAGGAGTGCAACTTTAGGGCCGGGTATCTGTGCACGGGGGGCTCGGGGCTCGGCCGGATACCCGGGCTGTGCTGCTCGCCACAGCCCACGCCGGTGATGACCGAGAGGGCACCATGTCCGGACCCTCTGTACAAGGCAGCGGGAATGCTCCGGCAGGAAGGGCACAGCGTGCAGACGTGCAAGCTAATCATCTTTGAAACCGGGAAGGGGAAACCTCTTTTATAGGGGATGTGGGAAGGGACTTAACACAGTCCTGCTTGAGAGAAACGTTATACAAGATGCTTGAAAAGAAATATTTTTTTAAAAACCTAATTAAAAATATATAAATCACCCATCAGAAACAAAGAAATATGTGGAAGGAAACGTTTCTGGATAGAGACACTGTGTGTGGCATGAAAGACGATTGAATACATAAGGGCTTCATTAAATTCCCAATAGATAACATTTGGCTAAATCTATCCCTAGATTAAAACTCCGCATAATAGCACCATAAACTAAAAAGTTTCTTTTTGTGTGGTCCTTCTGGAGGAACTGACTGAAACATCAGCCCCCTCATAGAGCAATCCCCTCCTAATTCACATCCAGTAATTCGTGTCTCAGCCCTACTGGGATATGATGAGCAAGGAAACGGGTTAATGAATCCACACTTTTTCCGCTGGGAGGAGGAGAAGGAGGCGACACTATACTCCTTGTCCTACCAAACTGTTTATTAGGGCCCGGACTATTTTGGAGGAATTGTTCGTCCGGGCTAGGTCCTTGCGAGGACTACACGTCCTCTCTCCCAGCCTTGAAAGCCGTGGAGACCACGGCGGGCCATTAGCATGCGAATGAGGCGCTGCGGCCCGGCGGTGCTGCGAGCTCATCAAAAGTCTGCGGGGCCGGCGTCTTTTCTGGCGGCACCTGCTCCGGGGCAGCGGCTTGGGAACAGGGACCGCCGGAACCGAGGCCGAGGACGGGCAGCTTCCCCGTCGACTCGAGGAGAACAGGCGGAAAGGTCCTCCACCAACGCCACAAACCTCTTCCCCGATCCCCTACCCCACGTACTGCAAAGTGTTCCTGCCAGCTTCCCTACCAGCTCGCAAGGGAAGGCCCTGTCCGTATGGGACGAAGGCAACCGGCGGAAAGCGTGGAAGAAACAAGTGGCCAAGCAGTTTGCTTGCCATGCACCTCTGACAAGACCTGAGGGACAGGCGGCGGGCACACTCGACCCCGCGGCCCGCCGGGCCGGGCCCGGCTCCGCGCAGGGGAGTCGCTGGGCTCCCCAGAGTCTGCTGCGGGGAAGCCAACAGAAACAAACACAGGGTGGGTCGCCGGAATCTACTCTTCCCATGTAACTGCTCGTGGAGAGCGCGAGGACTCGAGAAACCAGAATACAGACTGACGGCCGGCAGCGTCCCTTCCCGGGGAGCCGGGCATCGCCGGTCTCGGTTGCTACAGCTGCCTTCACCCCGGCAAAACCTTTTCCTGCTTGATTTTATCCGACTGTCCGAGGGGGGCCTCTGCCGAGCTCGGAACCCCGCGCTGGACCGGCCGTAGGCCCGGCGCATTCCCCTGGCCAGTCCCGGAGAAAGCGAGTTAATCGGTCTCTCGTGAAAAAGACGCGCAATCACCGGTACATACACGGTGTCTCTGGGGTATTTTCCCTTTAGTTTCAAAAATTAAAACGGACCCTACTTCGTCTTCTAATGGACCCGGGACACCCAAAGGAGCCTTCCAGTTGCAGACTGCAAATGGAGCCGAGCAGAGATCTTACGTCCACTCTTTCTGCTTTTTCAAAGCTACTAATTTAACACTGCCTTGCTACAAACCAAACAGAAAAGCGTCACTTTTCTATCTACGAAAACACTTAAAGCCAAGGCGACGAAGTATTTCGATATGTAAATGCATGTATTTACCCCACCTTTCCCTCCTCACTTCAAAGAGCACTAAAAGGCACCCCTACCCTTTATAATTCTTTTTATTAAGAAAATTCACATAATTGATCCCCGAGTCTCCTCAATTGTTATAAATACAGTTGTACTTGAAAAGAGCCTCCCTGGTTTGAAAAACGTGTATTCTTAGTCCACAACAAGTAACCACATCCTTACCCTTAAAATCTGTGTTTCTCTTTTCCATGCCCAAGTTCTGAATATTTGAGGCCGGCTTTGTGGTTAAAAAATTTCTAGTCCATAAAATAGATCTTGACATTATGCTGTTAAAAACGAGTGTTTGGAATCAGAAAAACTGTTTTCATGGTTTGTTCCATATACTTACATATCATTAATTCGACAGCTTATACACTTAATCAACTCATCACACAAGGATATTCCAAAGCTCATTTTATATTATATGTATTGAAAAGTAGAATCACTGGCCACTGTTATCATCACAGAAATATAAGTGTCTAGGGCAAATCTGTCTTAAGTTCAGTACGTGCCTGTCAGTAGTAGTATTTTCCTTTGGGCCTCTTGGAAACAAAACTGTGATGCAGTTGTGATTTAAAACACACCCAAAAGTATAAAAATAGTTTTAAACCGGCTTTTTAATCAATCTCCTGATTGGTGCCTTACAGAGAGACCTATTTCTATTTATCTTCTCTTTTGTCCCTGATGTTTTTTGTAGTCTTTTGTTTAGGGTTTTTTGGTTTTGTTTGTTTTGTGTTGGGGTGGTTTTTTTGTTTGTGTTTTTTGTTTGGTTTTTTTTTTTCCTTTGTGGGGGGTGTCTATCATTCTCTGCTAGGGTTAACAACGCATTGACTGCAAAGACCATATTCTGATCTTCTTCTTTATGATTAAATCCGGATGTAATGAATTTCAAGCTATAATATTCCTTGACTATTGTGCTATTAACCCCGAAGAAAACAATTATCAGTGTCTCAAAGAAATGAGAACTATTAAGGAGGGAAGGATCCAAAGCCAATTATTTGGCTGGAATCCTTTGGTCTTTGGGTTTGGTTTTGATTTTTTTTTTAAAATTAAAATTTTTATTTTTGAAAATGTGTAAAAATTTTACATTAAAATGGTACAATACTTGCCAGTAATTTTTAACAATATTCCTTGTAAAGAATAAGCATAAAGTACAAAATAAAAAACTCCGTAAGTCTATTATAATACAAAACACAGGTTAAAATAAGAAATGATAATCTTGACTTTCTTCTGTGTAAACACGTTAATCTTTTCTTTTATAAAAGTACATGAGACAAGTGTACTAAAATGAAAAAGTATTGCTCTGCTGTCCTCCCTCAAGCCTTTTTTTTCCTGTACATTACTGTTTTCAAGCTCCTAGACCTGAGAATCTCTGAACTTTAACGGTTTAGAGACATTATTTATCACCATTTTTTTTTTTTTTTTTTTACTTTTTAAGGAGTAACGAATAACTTTCCGATGTAGTTACCGCCTGCCCGTGCAGTATCTAGATCTAGACCTGGCTTTGCACTCGTGCAGGTCCCGGGAGGTCCGCCGCTCGCGGCGGACGCCCCCCGATCCCCGTCACAATATCCCCACGCAAAGACAGGCAGCCCCTGCGAGCGGCGTCCGCCGGGCGTCCGAGCGGCGGAGAAAGGAGATACCCCAGATCCTACCTTCGGAAAGACTCCCAAACACTTAACAGTTAGAGATCCGTGCCGCGAAGCCGGGGGCGGCGGGCAGGGCGGCGGCGGGGGGCACACCGCCCCCGGCGCTCCCCAGCGAGCGGGCCAGCCCCGGCGCCGCGGCCGACTGCGAGGCGCAGCTGCTGCCCGCGCCGGGGCCGGGTCCCCCCCCGATGATGCTCTCGATGGAGAACGGCGAGCGGGCCAGCGCCGCGCCGCTGCCGGGCTTGGCAGAGTGCAGCGAGGCCGCCAGCGCCGTGCCCAGCGGGTGCGCGTAGCCGAAGGGTGTCCGTGCCAGCTCCGCCGCCGGCAGCAAGGGGCCCGGCGGCGCGGCGGCGGCGGGGGGCAGCGCCGCACCGGGGGCGCTGCCAGGGGCGGCGGGCGGTTGGCGGGGCGGCGGGGAGGGGTGGTGGAAGGCGAAGAGAGTGGAGTGGGGGTGGTAGGGCTGGAGCTGGAGACCGTAGCCGCAGCCGTAGGGTCCGTAGGTGCAGGGTGGCTGCTGCGGAGGCTGCGGCGGGGGCTGCGGGAGGAAGGCGGCGGGGTCCACGGCGCGCAGCAGAAGCTCGGGAGCCGGGAGCTGCTGCCGCTTGAAGCGCTTTCGGCGGCGCAGGAAGCTCCCGTTGTCGAACATGTCGGCAGATTCGGGGTCCAGCGTCCAGTAGTTGCCCTTGCCAGGATTGCCGGGCTCCCGGGGAATCTTGACGAAGCAGTCGTTGAGGGAGAGGTTGTGGCGGATGCTATTCTGCCAGGCGGGGAACTTCTCTCGGTAGTAGGGGAAGCGCCCGCTGATGAACTCGCAGATCTCACTCAGCGTCAGCCTCTTCTTGGGGCTCTGCAGGATGGCCATGGTGATGAGGGCGATGTAGGAGTAGGGCGGCTTCACCAAGCTGTTCTTACCGCCGCCGCCCGCCCCACCGCCGCCGCCCGCCCCGCCGCCGCTCGCCGTCGCCTTCTGGGGGCCACCCCGCGAGGGGGACCGAGAGCCGCCGGCACCGTCCCCGCCGCCCGCCCCGCCGCCGCCGCCGCCACCTCCGCCGCGTACGGACGATCGCGGCAGCAGGGCGGCGTCGTGGAGGTCGCCCACATCCTCCTCGTCCTCTTCCTCCTCCTCCTCCTCCTCGTCCTCGGCGTAGGAGCGGCGGCGACGGCGGGTCTGCGGCTCCTCGTCGTCCTCCTCGTCGTCCTCCTCGCCCACCACATCGATGTCGGTCTCCTCAGCCAGCGCCGACGCCTCGGACATCTCCGAGCTCAGGGTCATGGCGCGGCGGCGGGGCAGCGCATCGGTGGCGGCCGGCGCGGCGCGGCGGGCGGGCAGGCGTTCTCCCCGCCGCCGCCAGGCCTCCGCGTCGCTCCGCGAAGAGCCGCCCCGCCGCCGCCACGGGCAGGCGGGCCGCTCCGAGCCGCGCCGGCCCCCAGCGCCGCTGCCGCGCCTCGGGAGCGCTCCCGCTGCTCGCTCACAGGCGGCGGCTGGCTTGGGTTTTGTTTCGGGGTATTTTTTGCTGCTGTTTGGATTTCTCTGTCTGTCTCTCTCTCTCTTTTTTCCCTCCCCTCCCCCTTTTTGGGGATCCTTCTCAGCTTTTTTTCCGTTGGGGTCGGGGTTTGTGGGCGCAGGGGGACTGTGCCGCAGCTCCTGCAAGTCGGTTCCCCCTTCTTTCTCCTCACCTCAAAGCCCAGACATTAATGGATGGGGGGCAGGAGGGAGTGCGCCTAGTCCTGGGAGGAGGAGAGGGGAGGAGGCTGGCGAGGAGGGAGGGCGTAGGGGGTGGCTTGCCGGGCCTTAGGAAAGACGGTGAAAAGGCTGGGGCTTAGTCCCAGAGAGGGCGGCCTTCCTCCCCGCCTTATAGCGGGGGGGCCATCACATGGCTCCCAGCGTCAAAGCGCGACGGGGCGAGCGGCGCCGTGTCTCCCCCCACGAAGAGGGGCGCCTCGCGACCGTCCTGGCCCCCCGTCCTCACCCCGTCTAGGAGGGGCTCTGGGGGGCCGCGGGGCAACCAGGGCCATCTTTAGTGGAAAAAGGGGGAAATAAAGATAACATATGACCCCTGCGGGGGGCGGTTGGGGGGAAGTGCAACTCTGTCAGAAAGAGCTGGAGCATCTTCCCAAGAGCCGTTCGGAGCTCCGCGTCTTCCAGGGCTGCCCTCCGAGATGGGGTGCCGCTTCCCGTGGGAAGGAGGAGAAAAAAAAAATCAGGCCGGAGAGGGAGGTGGTGAGTTAATAAACTTCAGACTTCTGTCCGCGGAATGCTTTAGAGACATCTCTCTCCCCTCCTCTCCTCCTTCCCCCATCCAAAGTTTAACTTATTTAAGAATTAAATAAAATATCTCTCCAAGTCGACCTCACAAGCTCTCAAAGAACAGCCTCCAAATCACACCGCTATTCTCAGTTTATTTGTAAGGCTTTTGTTTTTAAAGGGAGAGAAGCAGCTTTCTCCATTATGGAAAACACTAACAGAGACTTAGCTTACTTCTTTCGTCTGCAAAGGAAAACAATTCGCCGGCCTTTAAAATGCGAATTTTGCTCTAAGTAGGAGCAATACCCCTGAGAAAGTAACACAGAGGATTGTTAATTAATTGCTAATTAAATCGCACGGGTTCCCGTTTCAGGTGATCCATGCGACGACAGAAGAGCGGGCCCCCCTTTATGTAAGGGCTAGCAGGGGAAAAAACAAGCAAAACCCCCACCAAAGAACCCAAACAAAACAAAACCCCCACAAACTTGGAGAGAAATGCAATTACTGTAGTCTTCTAAAGAAAAGCTTTGAAAAATCCCATCGTTCCCAGTTCTGGCAGGATAAACCACAACAGGATTCGACTGGGACAAAAGTAAGGGAGCATTTCGTTCTCCTGCAGAAATCATCGTGAGAAGGGTGGGCTGACGCATAGAGTCTAACGGATCAAATCTCACTTTTCAAACAAAGCACAAACCCCATTTCTTGAAATACGTTTTGGACATATTGTCTTAACCCAAAATTACAAGCCACCCTGTTTCAAACCCATTTCCATGGATTTACAACATAATCCTTTCTACTATTTCCAAATAATCCTATTTACATTTTGTTCACTACTAAGACGCCTACAGGAGAATACCACCAAATGTTACAAAACAGGGGGGAAAAAAAGTAAAAGGGAAAAAAAAGTACCCCCAGTAATTGACTACTATTTTTTTTTTCTGTAGAAAAAGTGATGTCAATAGAGATTTACAGTTCATACAGTTCATAAAATGGCTCTTCGAATTAGTTTTGAGGTCTTAGGGCAAGCTACTAAAAGAAAGGTAGACAGAGGATTTTTCCTCTTCAAAAGGTTACTTCTCTTGACGAAGAGTTAGTATTTTTCCTTTTTACTCCTTTCCCCCCCCCCCCCCCCCCCCCCCCCCCCCCTTTTATTCTTTGTCTTCTCCCAGGCTGAAGTTTAAAAACCATCTTAAAAACAAAAAAGACAGCCTCTGAAGTATGAAGAACGGCGGAGTTTAAATGTTACATGGGGAAGAACCGCTGTAGTGACAAACCAAAAGAATCGGGTCTGCCCTCAGTCCCCTATTATCACCCACGCAGGATGCACGGGTGTTTCACTGAGCGAGTGACACCGGTGGTTCTTCGGTAGCACCGGGTCCCCAGGGGCCCCGGCTAGGTGTGGTTCCTCCTGAACGTGGCCGACGGGGGGTGGCCTCGGAGAGTGATGGTGGGTACCCCCCCCTTGAAAGACCTGGGCAGTAGTCCCAAGCCCTCGCCTATTGGTGCAGGGTGTGTGGTGTGTGTGTGCGGGGGGGGCTGCTCAGGGGATTCCTTTCTAGGGGTCAGTTGAGCCAGCCTCCAGTGTGGACAATTAAGACCTCGTGTTAATACAGCTCCTGATCGCGACTTGTCTCTGAGCATCTTCCAGTCGCTCCCGTCCCAACCCGGCAGGTGCCGTCTTAAAAGGGCAAGAAAGAAAAGAGAGAAGGCGAGCAGCGGCGGTACAACCATGAGTGGCATTTCCCGTGGTAAGACCCGCCGCTCCCGGGGCCGCGGGCTTTGCCCTGTCCCCCACCTCGTGGCCGGTCCCGCTCCGCGCCACTCCGCGCCCTTCCGCTCCCGGCGCTGCTCTGCCCGGACGGGGGATGCCATCTACCGGCAAGGAGCGCCGGCTGCGGTACGCTGTGCACCGGGGCAGGGACGTGTGCCCAAAGCAGCCCCCAGGAAGGGCAGGGTCGGGCAGAAACCCCGCATTCAGGTACTGAGTGGGACCCCGAGAACCCCAAGGAAAAAGAAGAATTTTGGAGGGGCCCTGAGAACACCCTTTCCATGAAATGGCTGGAACTTCCACGACCACCTTCCCACCTCCACCCTGGGGCTCTCCGTCCACACACCCAACCTTGAAAGGACCACCCGTGGCCCAGGACCTCGGGGGCTGCCCTCCGTGGCTTCCTGCTGGTTGTGAATGATGTGATGTTACATGCACTTAAAACCACAGTAGCACACTAGCCAGACCAGGAATATTCTGGTTCCCATGGTATGTCCGGGGACACTGGGCAGAAGCCAGACTGGGTAGACCTGCCATGACTTCCCCTTGATGTCTCCTTTATTATGGGAGACAGCAACCCTTGGGACGCCCATAGCATTCCAGGCCATACACCTTTCTCCAGCTAGGGGGCCTGTTTCCAAGAAGGACACATAGGAGCCCGTGCTGGGACAAGGAATAAATGAGTCCATATACCTTCCCATATCTTTTATTCAAAATCAAAGAACACCCTGGGCACCATTTAGGGCATTTTCAAGCAGCCATACTTGCACACTGACACACTGGCTGAAGTCCTTCAAGTTTTCTAGAACTGATCCTGACCGTGCAGAAGGATGCCAAAGGCTTCTTCATCACCACGAGTCAGGTGTCTGGTGGTGGTGTGCACCCCTGGGCAATATGTTGAGTGCTTGTCTGGGTGCAGCCAGTGGAAATCAAGCTAGAGCCTGGCCAGTAGTGACACATGCTGGAGCTGAAGAGTCTTTCCTGGGCCAACTCAGCCTTGAAAGTCTTCAAACCCAAAGGCTGCAGTTCTCCACACCCAGATCCATGTCTTAGCTGCAGAACTAGACTTCCTGATATTATATAAATAATAATTTCTTTAATAATTTACTTTTTCTGTCTTGGGCCAAAGACTGGACTGAATTCTGAGCTGATGGTGTCATGGAAAGAATAAATCTCCAGTGATGCCCTTGCAAGGATGGTTTTATCTGTCACAGGAACAATGGCAGTGACAGCTGTGGTTTTCTTTGCCCAGTATAACAGTGCTCCAGTTTAGCTCCACTTTTTTAGGGGTTTACGCCCCTCTTCCCTTACCATGTACCTTTGGGGACGGTAACACTTTCTTTAAGGCTTCTGCAGAGGCTAGGATTAGAGTCTCTGTGTGACCACAATGCATTGGTGAGGGTTGGCAGCAGTCACCTGAAAAACTGAAGAAAAATCTGTGGCTTCCAGCCATGCCTAGTGCTGAAAAAGAGTTTGTCACCCTTGGAGATGACCCACCCCCTCTCCTCTTGTCAAATATATTTTTCTTCTTGACCAAGTTTGTTTGTTTGCTTGGTTGGTTGGTTTTTTATTTGAATTTGGTTTTTGGTTTTTGTTTTCCCTCCTTAGTTCTATAATTCTTATAGGTTGGTACATTTGCTCTGAGAAGTGAAAGTCACTTTCTTTCAGGCCCTTTAGGTTTTTAATTTCTTTTAAAATGTGTTTTAATGTTCTCACAACCCTTTTGAACTTAAGGAGAGTTTTCACCAGTTTAGACCAAGACCAGTGTAGCAGCATAAGCTGACTTCAACGTCAGCCAAGACCCGATGTCTAGGGAAGAACATAGGAATAGAGCAAATGTGTAAAATTGATTCCTACTTCCAGAAATCTAGTTTTTAGATTTGGGGGTTTTTAAGCAAGAGATAATAGCTGAATTTAATAGCCTCTGATGGAGTTTCTTCTGTGAATTTGTCCAGTCATCTTTTGAAATCATGTACTTTTACACCACTAAACATATTCTGTGGTGGAATGTTCCCCAGCTCTAACCATGTGTGGTTTGAAGTGTCTCTTTTCATTTGCTTTAAGCAAGTCACCTGCTCATTTAATATGATGTGCTCTCATTTTTGTACTAGAAGAGAGAAGGAACAACTGTTGTTAAACACCCTCTCCCTGTTGTTCACAACTTTGTACATTTTATGACAATTTTTTTCATTTTTCAGACTGAAGGGTTCTGCTTCAGAATCAATGGATTAGCACAGAAGTAATTCCGTACTCCTGACAATCCTTATAATTCTCTCTATCTTTTCTTGTTCAGCTCAGGCCT